GGGGAGCTGGTGGGTTCAGAGCCCCTCCCAGGAGCGCAGGTGTGACCACCTCACCTGGGAGCAGGTGGAGGTCTGACCCCCGGAGTCCCTGACCCCCACGATCGGCGGGAGGGTGTCAGGTGGCTCCACCCCTGGCCCAGCGGAGGGCAAGGGACAGGGCGGTGGGCGTCTTTGGGCCACTCTCAGCAGTGCCAGGCGCTCGGGCAGAGACTCGTCTTCCTGAAGAGCTGGCATTGAGGACGCAGTGCGGGGTTAAGTTGGTTTTACTGGTTTTAAGTGGAGGCGTGAGTCACGTCAGGGCTCCGAGGGGAACGGGGAACTGAGCTCAGTCCCAGGCGGGCGGCTGCTGGAGCCCAGCTCTCCTGCGGGGCCCTGGCCCCTCCCGGCTGGGCATTCAGGCCCAGAGGCCTCCGCCCACCGGGGTCCTACCTGCTGGAAAGCACCTGGGCCTCAAAGGGCCAAGGCAGCCGGCGGGGCCACCCTGTCCCCAGGGCCCAGGGCTGGTCACAGAGGAGGCTGCCCAGACTCAGGGCACAGGGCTGGCCGCAGGGGAGTCAGCCCAGCCCAGGACCAGTCGGCCCAGCGGGGCCTTGCTCCCTGCTCTCTGGGAAGCGCCCACAGCCCCAGGCCCATTGTCCTCCGTTAGTAGCTGAAGGGGCCCGGCTCCGAGCACTGGGGCCTCAAGGGGCTCTCGTGGGTCGGAGGTCTTCCCGGGTGGAGAGGTGAGGCCCAGACCCTCGGCTTTAACGGGGAGCAGGCCGGTCAGTTACAGGCCCCCCTGCTTAGAACTCTGCCCCCGAGTCCATTTGAACGTGAACGTCTGAGTCGGTGGCAGACGCGATGTCCCCTTGTGCCCCGTTGTTCCTGCGAAGGGCAGGGACAGCCGCCGAAGGAGACGGCTGGGGCGGTGAGCACAACACAGTGCAGGTGACGCTGCAGCGCGGCTCACCTGAGACCCACATAGTTTATTAACCAGCGGCACCTCGACGCACTCAGTGCTAACAAAGGTGCTGTATTGAAGTGAACGGATTCACAGCAAGTGGGCACATCGGCTTCAGATCTCGGGGACCACGACCCAGGTCCACCGTGTAAAAGGGTCCCAGGAAGAGGAGAAAAGGGGCTTGTGAGCTTTTGCTTGATTCCTCTGCTCCTTGAGCGCTTCTTCCTGGGAGTCAGTTTCCTTGGGGAGAAGGCGGATATAAAGATGGGCGCCTGGGTTAGGGTCGGCCCGGGATAGATGCCGCTTTCTGAGACCTGAAGCTTACAAGTCCTTGGAGGGTCTCGCTAAGGAACATGGGAAAAGCACAGAATGAGGCAGAGCACCTCCGAAGGAGCTCATTAGTCCCACGGCAGATCCCGCCCTGGCCTGGGGTGTGTTTTATCACGCTATCCAGTGGTCAGCAAACCGCGGCTCGCGAGCCACATGCGGCTCTTTGGCCCCTTCAGTGTGGCTCTTCCACAAAATACCGACTTCTGCGCATGGGCCACGAAGTTTCAATCGCACTGTACGTGTGTGCCCGCACATGGTATTTTGTGGAAGAGCCACACTCAAAGGGCCAAAGAGCCGCATGTGGCTCGCGAGCCGTGCTTTGCCGACCACGGCACTATACAGTGGGAAGGCCTGGAAGAATAACTCCCTATTGCAATGAGCCTCGGGGTCCCTAAAGAAACAACTGAGGCCCTAACCAGTTTGGCTCAGTGGATGGAGCATCGGCCTGTGGATTCAGGGGTCCTGGGTTCGATTCCAGTCAAGGGCATGTACCAGGGTTGCGGGCACATCCCTAGTTGGGGGTGTGCAGGAGGCAGCTGGTCGATGTTTCTCTCTCATCGATGTTTCTAACTCTATCCCTTTCCCTTCCTCTCTGTAAAAAATCAAAAAAAAAAAAAAAAGAACAAGCTGAGCCCGGCCGGCATGGCTCAGTGGTTGAGTGTTGACCTATGAACCAGGAGGTCAGGGTTCGATTCCCAATCAGGGCACAAGCCCGGGTTGCAGGCTCGATCCCCAGTGTGAGGCCTGCAGGAGGCAGCCGATCAATGATTCTCTCTCATCACTGATGTTTGTTTCTCTCTCCCTCTTCCTCCTTGAAATCAATAAAATTATATTTAAAAAAAGAGAAATAGCTGAGAACATGTCTGGGCAGGAAAAATATGAGGATGTCCAATGCCAGGCTGGGTCGGATGCAAGAGGTGCCCAAGGCGAGTGGGGCCTCATTGAAATGCCACAAGAGAGGGGTCTTTAAGCTTTTCTCCAGCTGGCCTAGAGTGTTCACACACTTAAATGCTAACACAATGCCATTATTCCTAAGCTTTTAAAAAAAATTTTTTTATTGATTTCAGAGAGGAAGGGAGAGGGAGCGAGAGAGAGAGAAACATCAATGATGAGAGAGAATCATAGATCAGCTGCCTCCTGCACACCTCACACGGGGATCGAGCCCACAACCGGGCGCTGCCCTGACTGGGAATCGAACTGTGACCTGGTTCATAGGTCGACACTCGACCATTGCGCCACACCGGCCGGGCATCTAGGCCATTTTCAGTTTGTAAGGTTGTGTAAGAGGGAACTGACACCCTGATCGCCAGCGAGGCTTGGGAGCTGAGCTGGATCAAACGGGGAGGGGGGGGAGCGCTGAGAAATTCTCCAGGAGGAATGCTGTGAGGAGGGCCTGACCCGGGTCACAGCGTGACAGAGGGACAGCTGGTCGCATGCGCTTCGCTGCAAACGCGTTCTGTTTTCGAGAGAATCCGTAAATTGGTGAAGGTGTTTCTTCGTGAATATCTTGATTGGCTGTTCCTTACCCAAAGAAAAAAATCCAGAGTTTACTGTTCTCAAATTCTGTGTGTTTTCCTTCTCCTCTGTGTTATATTTCATTAATGAAGTTAATGTATTGTTTTCTCTTGTATAAATGGAAATAGCATATTAACTAACAAAGGCAAAGGACAGGACAGTCACTTACTCAGCAGGACACTTGGCAAAGCCGGGAGCTTCCGCGTGGGAAGCTCCTCCGAGGCCTCCCTGGCCGCGTTATCTCGGGGCCGCCGTCGCCGACCTTTTCGCGGCCCCGGCTCCCGTGTAGCTCGGCTGAGAGTCGCTCCTCCTCCACGCAAGGACGGCCCTGAGACAGACCGGCCTGCTCTGCCAGGACCGTGGGAGCTGGAGGCATCCAGCCCGTCGTTTTTAGATTGTCCCTGAGTCCAGGTTAGTCCCAGGGTTCTTCATGATTAGGTCCATGCAGTGCGATTTGGGCAGCGATAGTGTTGTAAAATCCGTATTTTTAAAAATATATTTTTATTGATTTCAGAGAAGGGAGAGGGAGAGTCATTGATTGGCGGCCTCCTGATCGCCCCCTACTTGGGATCACGCTCACAACCCGGGCATGTGACCTGACCAGGAATCAAACCATGACCTCCTGGTTTCTAGGTGAGCCATGCCGGCGGGTGAAAAATCCCTATTTTATTCCTGACTTCAGTTGTTAGTATTTGATCTTTTTCTCAGTCAATCTGAGTTTTGTCAATTACTTTTGTCTTTCTAAAGAACCGTTTGACTTTATTGACATTTGACATTGTATTTTTGTATTGTTTTAGAATTTTTTAAATCGCAGTATAATTGTATGCTGGCTTCAGGTGTATAACAATGACTTGCTAGTACATGACACAGGCATACCCCAGTTTATTGCGCGTAGCGTCATTGAGCCTCACAGGGCTTGCATTTTTTACAAATTGAAGGCAAGACCCTCCACTAGCAAAAGATTATACCTCGCTTTATTGGGAGAGCATTGTGAAACAGTCGCCACAATGAGTCTGGTTAACATTTATCACCATACAT